ACTGAGCATTCAGAGTAACAGTCTGACCTTAACATAACAAGCATGTGTGCTAAAGTTATTTTTACAGCTTCAAAAATACTTTTTTTACCTTCCAGATTTGGAAAGTCATTCAATTTTTAAAATAAAACACCTTTCTTAGGGCAAATTATAGTTCTGGAACAAGCAATTACATTTAGCCAAAGGTTCTAGAACAAGATCTTTAGAAAGAATATGTGAAATAAAAGACAACTATAATAAAAAGAGCCAGCCTATAAAACTTTATTGGTATAAAAAAATACTGTAAAGTATTGGAAGAAATATAAATAGCACAAGGCTATGGCATAAAACGATAAAGATTAAGAAGTAGTTATAAAACCCTAATGCAGTGACAATGAAAGAAAAAATGTATAACAAAATAAAAATGTGTGTATATGTACACATACTGTATATATCAGAAATAGGTCTCAATTCATAATGCAGATTTTGAAGATACATTTCTTACCAGAAGTTGAGGACAAAATATTAACTATAGCAACTTGTGTGTCTGAAAGTGCTTCTTGATATGAGAAATTTGCCAAAAACCACTAAAGAAATAGAAAATAAAGAGAAATCTGATGAATGACATGTTTATATTTGTCATTACAATTTATAGTTCCCTCCTTTTTTTCTTCCCCTAAACACTGTTATCATGAGAGGTTTTAAAATCTACTTTATATTGAAAAATCACAGGCCCCAAAACAGGACAATTATAATCAGATTTAAGATCTTTGTTATCCAATTTCCCTTAAGAAATTAACAATAGTTGGTTAAAAATTAGCATTCAAGGGGCCGGCCGAGTGGCTCAGTTGGTTAATAGCTTGTTCAAGTGTGCAACCTCTGAGCAACAGGGTTCCCAGTTCCAGTTCAATTCCCACATGGGCTACTGAGCTGCACCCAAGCTGAACTGTCGCTGAGCTGCCAAAAGGTGGCAGGATGGCTCAGCTGGTGAGAGCACGTGCTCCTAACAACAAGGTTGCCTGTTCAAGATGGTGGGCTATGCCCGCCCGCAACTAAAGACTGAACTTGGCACCCTGAGCTGAGCTGCTTGCCCAGATGGCTCAGGGGACAGAGCCTGCGCTCTTAACAACGAGGCTGCTGGTTCGACTTCCACATGGGACGGTGGCTACGCCCACCCACAACTAATTGAACACAGCACCTTGAGCTGAGTGGCACGACTGGACTTGGAGCTGAGCTTGCTGAGTTCTCCACAACTAAGATTGAAGGACAACAACTTGGCTGTTCCCCTCCCCCAATTTCCCAATAAATAAAATCTTAAAAAAAAAAAATTAGCATTCAAGTGTTATTTAAAATAAGGATAAAATTTAATATCAAATCAACTTTAAATTTTCCTTTATCCAAGCACTGCTAGCATTCTATTAAGTTTATCTAAATCAAATTTAAG